CAATCTCTGCAGTGCTCTTCCTCAGGCTACTTCCTTATCATACTGCACTGCACCAAATGTTACAGACGCACTGTAACAGAAAAGAAATACTTATCAGACAAAAAGCTCACTCTCCACAGTGCTCTTCCTCAGGCTACTTCCTTACCATACCGCACTGCACCAAATGTTACAGACATACTGTAACAGAACAGAATAACTTAGCAGACAAAAAGCTCAATCTCTGCAGTGCTCTTCCTCAGGCTACTTCCTTATCATACTGCACTGCACCAAATGTTACAGACGCACTGTAACAGAAAAGAAATACTTATCAGACAAAAAGCTCACTCTCCACAGTGCTCTTCCTCAGGCTACTTCCTTACCATACCGCACTGCACCAAATGTTACAGAGGTACTGTAACAGAACAGAATAACTTGGCAGACAAAAATCTCACTCTCCGCAGTGCTCTTCCTCAGGCTACTTCCTTACCATACCGCACTGCACCAAATGTTACATACGTAACAGAACAGAGTAACTTAATTTAAAGTATATATAGTTATAGTGGATGCTGACTTAACATGATATGTTTAGTCTAAGTTATTTAGACCCTTATTTTTATGTGCTATATTGCATCTTAAACTATTTTATTGCTGTTTTTATTGGACCGGTCTCTCTTTGAAAAGAGAATTTAAAAATCAGTGAGACCAACCTGGTTAAATGAAGGTTTAATAATTATGCAGGAAATAAACACACATGTGTGCTTCTTATTGTAACAAAAGAATCACAGCAAGTGTCTCCAGCAGCCACATTAAACTGTGAGCAGGAACACTCACTGCTGTTAATGGTCAGTGCATGTGTGTGAGTGACCATGTATGGGTTTGTGGGGTCTCATGGACTCATCTCCGACATTCTGCCGATCCAGACCTCGCTCGTCGACCTCTTGCTGGATTATGTGAACGAGCTCCACGATGAACAGCTGAAGCAGTTTAAATTCAGACTGAGTCTCTCAGCGCATAAAGACTTAAAGCCCCTTCCTAAGGGTCAGGTGAAGAACTTGGACAGAACAGACCTTGTTGAGACGATGATCGGTTCTTACAGTGCAGCTGGTGCTCTCCAAGTCATGCTCGAAATCCTTAAGAAGATGGACCAGAATGACCTTGCTCAGAAACTGCATGAAGACCTGCAGAAGTTAAATCGGGAAAGAGGAAGAGGGGACGGCCCAGAGCTACGTGATGCTGAGACCTTGAAGTGGACCTGGAAAGAACACGATGCACCTGGAGGCAGCTGGAGCGGAGAGCCCAGAACCAAGACGCTTGGACGTCCCTTGCTGGCGGCCGGTGCCCCAGGAGGGGTAGCAGGTGAAGAGAGAGAGAAGCATAATCATATTTATATCAGTTCTTGTTTTTCCTCTAAAATGTAACCTTTTTAAAGCTATTTGAAAATAAATATATCGTCTAGCATTAAAAATGCAATGATGAACAGTTTGTTAGATACTGATGTTGGAGATAGAAATGAATCTGAAATTCTTCCTTATTTCAGGTCCCCAAGCAGGAAGTGAGCTGGATGACATATTGCAGCAGAGTAAGAGCTGTATGACATATTGGAGCAGAGTAAGAGCTGTATGACATATTGGAGCAGAGTAAGAGCTGTATG